GGTATTTGAATGATATTTTAATTTCTATGAGAAATATAGTTTAAAAAATATGATTAATATAATCAATGATTTTCAAAAGTTGCTACACTCGTGTACTCCTATGTCACATAGACCTCAAATATAAAATATAAAAATGACAAAAATGATTGTGGCTTATTACAAAAATTTTGCAAACACTGAATCAACAGAATGTTTAAGGCATCGAAACTAATAAAAATATAACTTTTGTATAATTTAGGCTACTATGACATTTTTTGCATTTGCATCAAACAGTTGTTCCTGTCTGGTGTACAAAGACTGCTCTTCATATCGCAAGAAGACTGTTCATATGTAGAGTATCATTTAAAATGATACAAATACTAGAGAATTTGACAGCCAATACATCTTGTGATTTTCTGGACTAAAAAAAGTTTAAAGGGGTGACAAAATAATTATAGAAAATGTAGATATGGTATTGTGGGAACTACATTTAGGTACATCGAAATTATATTATACACACAAGGCTGATAAGGCTTTAAACATTCAAGTTTTTCTCAGATGTCACAAAAGTATTGACAGTTTGGCTTAAATAAATTTCATAATATGCATGTACATGGTAAATAAATCATTTTTTGAAAAAAATATTTTAAGCCAAACTAATTATACTTTTGAAAATAAATCTGTATACTGTGTATACCATATTTGCTGCGTGTGGATGAAAAAATATATATATATTAAAAAAAGAGATCAGATTGTGAAATTAAAGGAAATAACACAAATATTTTGTTACTATTGATTACTATTCGCCTGTTTCACCCATGACACAGTGTATATTTTAATTATAACAAAAAATAAAATATTCATTACTTGAAAAGTATTTTGTGATATTCTTCTTTCACAATGAAAGCTTAAATAAATGAATAGAAATGTATTCTCTTGTAAAAATATACAATTATCTTAGAAATAATAGTTTGATATAATAATCCTTTTTTATGTTGATACACAATGAATTTTAATAAAATTATAAAATTCACTAAGTGTTATCAACATTTGAAATTACTTCTTTATTATTAGAAAAATTGTAAAATTAATATAAGAATAAATATTAATTTTGAGCAATTGCGTATGTAAGAAATAAATAAATAAACTTGAAAGCGATACCGAACCTAGAAATCATAAAAATAAGAATTGTTTTTATCATTTGAGTCTTTTTAGTATTTCATTTATTATTAAAGGTTAATAGAAAAATAAGTGTGTAATAAAAATATGAATAATGTAAAAATAGATGTTAAATTTATGAATAATTTTTGTATACTTTTACGTAATTAATGTAATTATGTAATACAAATCCATGAAAATATTTATATGTAGTATTCTATATACTGAAAATTTTTATATAAAAGTAATAAAATATTTTCTTCTATATATTTTTCACCGAAATATATTTCACAATATAAAGACATGTTAAGAATGCGGCTTAAGAATAATCGCTAATGGCAGTTGCATGCGTTGCATGGGTGTAAACGGACGGACGTGCAGTCGGACAGACAGCTGCAGTGTCATCATCTTGCTGTGCATCTTATTGTACGGAAAGAGCTTAAAGTGTCGGAGGTTCGAAAAGGAGCAAATTGCTACTATGCCTCAGCGAAAACTATCAAAAGTCATATTACAATTAATATTGCCTGTTTGGCCAAGAGAATTCGCGATGTAGCCTATTACATACTCGATTTCATCGCGTTCGCGTTTATTCCTCATCGATGTACCGAGAAGTATCGGGAGCATTTCGTGCAATTTTTGAATTCAAGTCGCATGAAATCTCCTGTTGTTGTTCTCGTGAAAACATTCGTCTATTATTGTGTCACCCTTCGTCGTTATTCTCGACGTTTTCATTCTCGTTCGTATTTCCGTTGTCATTCTCAAGTGCCTTCTCTTTCCCTCTCTCATCCTTTTAACTTACTATTTTCCGATTTCAATCTCGTGAAAACTAGTGTACGCATTGAATGACGTACTAATATGTTTGTTAATTCGGTAAGTTTAACTACATATTTTTTTAAAATTATTTTCAAATGTATATATTTTATTTTATTTATTACGTAAAATTTTCCATGAGAGAATCATCGCTTTCTCGCACATTGTTTATTTGTTGATTGCTGTTTCGTCGTGACTTGTGATTTGTGACTTGCTTCACGATATAATTCTGCAAGATTTTTACTGTTTGTTACTTTTCGGATTAAATAACCCGCGAATACGATATCGTTTAAAAATTGATTTAATTCTATGATTGATAAATATTTGTCAAACTTTCTTGTGACGGTTTGCCAAAAAGACAATGATAATTGACGCACACGCGATAAATGGTCGTACGATCGATGCAACGTAATCTTCGTTACTTATTTATATTATTTTGTTGATACAAAATTATACACATTTTTTCTAATGAAAATATTAGATAAATATTAGATAAAAAGTTTAGATTTTTTTATTCTTATATTGATTTATTAAAAAATTTTAAAAGTACGTATGTATATAAAACTTTTATCGAATTACATACATCAATTATCTTGTTTTTATATTATTTAGATAAAATACGAAAATATATTAAAAGAAATGAATATTTTAATAAAACATATTTTTATTACAATATCATAAGCTATATATCATTCTAACTAATTTTTGTATACATACATTTCATTAAAGTATTGGTTAAGTAGAAATTGATTGATTAAAAATGAAATAATGATAAAATGATTAAAAATAATGGAAATTGATAAAAATTTTTATTGCATCGTTTCAATGTCATTTGAATATAGTTATATATTGTTTTTTATTTTTTATTGAAAGAAAAAATATAAAATATTTTATTTAAGTAGTAACAAAACATAAAATCTAAAAAATATATTCTGTAAAATTCATTACTCTTATGTAACTATGAATAATTTATTAATTGAATTAATTAAATATACCATACTTGTAGAATAATATATATGTATAGTACAAGAGTATTATATTTATTTACTCTATATGGATAAAATATGATAACAATGACACCATATAATCTTTCTTTAGATATATATAATGCAAGATAATTATATGTGTGTCAAATATATTTTTCAACATATTGAAATGACATTCATTTTATATAAAGGTATAGTTGTAATATTCAATTTTTTAAATTCAAAAATTTTTTAAATATTAAAATTAAAAAAAATTTATATATAACACTATATAATATCGTTGAAATTTTAATAATTTACAGATATGAGGTGGATGGTTCATTCCAAAATGTATCGCATTTAATAGACATCTTAAAAATAAATAGATTTTTCTTCAACTAAAAGGCAAAGTGTTCTTATTTGATACATAGAATAAAAGAAAAAGATGTCTCAGTTAAGTATTAGTACAGGAAAGAGAGGGAGGAGTGTTGCAAGCTCCTCTGCACCTACCGTATCATCTCTAAGCAGTTCAACTGATCTAGCAAGTCTATTTGAATGTCCAGTTTGCTTTGATTATGTTCTTCCACCCATTTTACAATGTCAAAGTGGACATCTTGTTTGTAGTAATTGCAGACCAAAGCTTAATTGCTGTCCTACATGTAGAGGTCCACTAGGTATGTAATTAATAATAAAATTTATATAAATAAAAGGAATTGTTAATAAGTTAAAAATTTAAATATATTCAAATAAAAATAATTATAATTCATAAATTTGTAATGTAGGTAATATTCGAAATCTGGCTATGGAAAAAGTGGCAGGTAATGTGATGTTTCCTTGCAAATATTCAACAAGTGGATGCACAGTATCATTAGTGCATAC